GGGGAACTGTAGTCTGATTAAAAGTATTTTAAAATGAGATATAATCATAATATAATCTATAAGTATATTACATACTGTATAATCAGTTACTACCTCGCACTGCTTGTTGGTCGCTGCTGCTCGGGACAGTGTGCAAACCTGACAGCTATTTCAAGACCGTTTGAAATTAGTTTGCATCTGCGATTAGTAGTAGCATAGACTTTGTTCAGACTAGGTGCAGACTTAAAACAAGAAAAGGCGATGAGCTTCAGAACTTGGCTTAAGAAAGCCAAAAACCTTAGGGGAAAAAATTGATGGTCAGAATGTGGCCAGAGTGAATACTGAATGAATGAAGGAAAGACTGAAAAACAACAAAATATTTATGATTTTTATTTTTTTCTCTTTGCAGGGAGTCTCCCATATCTCTTGCATGCCAGGGCCTGTGCGCCGCTGGAACTATCCGCCTCCTCTCTGCATCGGTAATAACTTCTGTCATCTTTTATTCATTTATTTATTTTCTAAATCCTGGCTTCTGCAGATTTATGAGTTCAGATCTACCACAGAGTCAGGAATGGTAAAGAACTACACGGGGACTTGTCCGTGTGTACAGCGGCCCCAAAACGTACTCGGGCACTTAAGCCACATTTAAAAATGTATGAATTTCATTGCATTAGGTAACAAATGAATCAAATAAATGATGCTACAGTGTTTCACAGAACTAACTGAGCAATGTTTGCTGTTATTGCTTTTATCTATCTGGTCCCAAGCTGATTTGTAGTAGATGTATGAGGTCAGTTCTTCTCAAGTTCTCACAGATGTCCAAGCAGAGCAACCACATGTGTAGTTCATCTCATTCAACTATGAACAGGATCCCATCTGACAAGTGCACTTGTGCCATCTTTCTTTAAAAATGCCATTTGGTTTGTTAATTTACTCTAATGCAGTGAAAAGAGCAGGGATGAAGAGTCTTCACATGATCAAAATAATAGCATCACGTGTTTCTTGAGAAAACCCTAATAGTGTCCTATTAGGCCCTTATTAGTTCCATCTCCTGCTGTGATTGGCAGAGCTCTTGAGATGATTCATGGCTTGGACGGTCATCAGCAGTTTCCTGATTCCTGCTGCTTTTTCAAAGGCACAGAGAACATTTTCAACCCCTCCATTCTATATAGACTTCATTCAGGATCTGAAGCTTTGTAAGGCTTCTCAGCACATCCATAGAGTCTCTTTGAGTCCAAAGCCAGGGCTTTAATCAGAGTGATATTTGAATCAATCAGTTGTTTAGACTCAAAGCCTCGAGAGGAGGAGGGGATAGAGCATGCGTTTTCACTGATATGTGAAGATTGAAGGCTACAGAGGTGCTTGAGTGGCCTTTGATAGCTTTGGGAAGTGAGTTGGCTTTTTTAATAAATGAAAGACTTGTTTTCCCTATGATGTCAATAGAAAAGCTAATGTGTTACATTTCTTTATTTGGCACAAAGCTTTTAGGGTCACTGCACGAGGTAGACGGCATTGCTAAGCAACGTGAAACGTCAATCGACTTGTAGCCCACACAGGTTGCTGTAAATATCACAGAACATTGCATGTTTACATCCTCTTTCCCTATGGATATTTTATTTTATTTTATTATTTTAAAATTAAATTATATTATTTACATTTGCATTTATTTGAGTTACAATGAAATTTAAATTCAAATCTGAGTTAAATTAAAAGAATCTTGGGCTTTCATATTTTTTTCTGCTTCCATTGAAAGCAGAAGATTAACGTTACAAACACACACACACACACACACACACACACATATATATATATATCCGCCTCCTCTCTGCATCGGTAATAACTTCTGTCATCTTTTATTCATTTATTTATTTTCTAAATCCTGGCTTCTGCAGATTTATGAGTTCAGATCTACCACAGAGTCAGGAATGGTAAAGAACTACACGGGGACTTGTCCGTGTGTACAGCGGCCCCAAAATGTACTCGGGCACTTAAGCCACATTTAAAAATGTATGAATTTCATTGCATTAGGTAACAAATGAATCAAATAAATGATGCTACAGTGTTTCACAGAACTAACTGAGCAATGTTTGCTGTTATTGCTTTTATCTATCTGGTCCCAAGCTGATTTGTAGTAGATGTATGAGGTCAGTTCTTAAGTTCTCACAGATGTCCAAGCAGAGCAACCACATGTGTAGTTCATCTCATTCAACTATGAACAGGATCCCATCTGACAAGTGCACTTGTGCCATCTTTCTTTAAAAATGCCATTTGGTTTGTTAATTTACTCTAATGCAGTGAAAAGAGCAGGGATGAAGAGTCTTCACATGATCAAAATAATAGCATCACGTGTTTCTTGAGAAAACCCTAATAGTGTCATATTAGGCCTTTATTAGTTCCATCTCCTGCTGTG